AGAGAACTGGGTTGATCCTAGGACAGGAGTCAATGGAGAGTCCTCATCCCTTAGTGACTGTGAAGGGGGCATTGTTCTGTTCTGTGGTGCTAGAACAGGAAAACTTATCAGAGCTGTAACTAGGATGAGGCAACCAGAGTCTAGCCCCAGAGTACTGAAATTTAAAGGGCTACTGACTTCAAGGATGCTCTTTCAGAGCACCTAGTCATCAAGAATATTTAGTTAAAATAGGAAGTTCTCAAACTACACTTCCTCACAATCTCTTCCCCACCCTCTGTCCCCTAGACTGGGTCCATCCTTCTCCCTTCCCTGGTGGTGGCCTCCCCAATAGCAGCCTTGTGGTGTCCAAAGGCCTCTGTTTCTCTTCCACAGAGTGATGTCCCAAGGTCTGAGGTCCCTCTCTATGCCAACTCAACTGACTTTGTCTCAAAAAGTTGATCTGAGAGCACCCTTTGTGCTTCTTACCTGGTGTACATTTTTGTGATGCTTGCCCTTGGTCCCAGAATTCCTAGAGTGACCTGTGCTGAATTTATATGCATTGGGTTGTTTTAGGGGGTTGCCCCCCGAATCATAACATTTTGCTCATCTTGCTGTCACCAGGGTTGCCTCTTGAAAGCTTTAGACATGACCATACGTCCAAGTCTTAACAACTGTCACTGAAGGGCTTTCCGCTCCTATGTCTAAGCACTCAAGGTGACAACGCACCTCAGGAACAGCCTCTTTACTTCACACCCATGGAAAATGCAGAAGCTCATGAACAACGACTATGGCCCTCTCCACCTCCACCGAATCCCATTTCCTCCTGAGGGCTCCCGCCCCAGTCCACCTTGTGGTTTGAACTCTCCTCTCAAGGGAAATTAACTTGGCTTGGTTGCTAGAGCCAGCCCCTAACATTCTACTGAGTCTCACTTTCACCTCTGGGGATGTCCTCACCCTCAAAAGGGGCTGAGAGCACAGCCCAGTACGTGGCCCCCAAGTCTTCTCAGGTTGTTAACAGACATGTCCACACCCTCCACAGGAAGACACAAAAGCCCAAACCAAGGCTCACCCCAGCTAAGCTCACCAGGTGACCAGCTCCCAACATTCATCATCTACAGGTCACAGATTTAGAGCTGGAAGGGATCTCAGTCACTATATAATTCAATTCCCTCAGATTCCAGCCTCCATCCCGAGACTGGGTGTCCTAATCTCACCCAGGCTGGAAGTATAGGGGCTACTCGTGGGCCCACTCCTATCACTAATAGGCATGGGAGCTTTGGCCTGCTCTGTTTCCTACCTGGGTCTGCCCTCCCCAGGCAACTGGGTGGCCCCTTCCTCCCAAGGGCTCCCCAAATTGACACTGTCCTTCATATGGACACCCAATCAGCACAGCCCGATGTAGAGAGTTCTGCTAGCCTCAACCTTCCTAGCAGCAGAGATTATAGGTGTGCCCTGCCAGGTCAAACTCCAACCTTCTCATTTTACAGATGAGGGAACTGAGACCCAGAGAGGTTAAATGATTTGCCCATGGACCCACAGTTAGTAACATAAGCAGGGTTGGAACCCGAGTCTCTTGACTCCAAATCCAGTCTTCAACTATCATACTGGCTCGGTAACTCTGCTAAATAGTATGGATCATTGGCTCACACTTTTAAAATATATATATACACATGCACACATATATACACGCACATATATATACATACATATATATTTATTTTTAGCATTAATTTTATTTTTTCTCAATTACAGGTCAAGATAATTTTTAGCATTCAATTTTACAAGATTTTGAGTTCCAAATTTTTCTCTCTCCCTCCCCCCCTTCCTAAAATGGTAGGCAATTAGATATAGGTCATACACATGCTATCATGTAAAACATATTTCCATATTAGTCACAGTTGGCACAGCTAGGTGGTGCAGTGGATAGAGCACTGGCCCTGGATTCAGAAGGACCTGAGTTCAAATCCGGCCTCAGACACATAACACTAGCTGTGTGACCCTGGGCAAGTTACTTAACCCCATTGCCTAGCCAAAAAAAACCCAAACAACCAAAAACATATTAGTCACAGCTGTGGAAGAAGAAAGAGATCAAAAGGGGGAAAAAACCACAAAAAAGAATAAAGTAAGTGATAAAAGTAAGCTTAGATCTGCATTCAGAGTCCATCAGTTTTTTATCTGGGTATGGACAGCATTTTCCTTTGCACTTTGTACAAAGTCTTGGATCATTTTGTTATTGAGAAGAGCTGTCATTCACAGTTATTCATCACACAATGTTGCTGATATTGTGTACAATGTTTTCCTGGTTCTTCTCATTTCACTTTGAATCAGTTCATATAAATCTTCCTAAGTTTTCCTGAAATCTGCCTATTCATCATTTCTTATTGCACGATAGTATTCCATTACATTCATATACCACAGCTTGTTCAGCCATTCCCCAACTGGTGGGCATCCCCTCAATTTCCAATATTTTGCCACCATGAGAAAAGCTGCTATAAATCTTGCACATATGGGTCCTTTTCACTTTTTTATGCTTAGCATTCATTTAAAAAAATCCAAGTTCTCATCTTCTCTCTAGTTCCTCCCTCCCAATCCATTGAGAAAGCAAGCAATATGCTATCAATTATACATGTGAAATCATGCAAAACATTTCCACATTATATTGTCTCATAAATTTAGGGGTGAAGGGGACTGGAGGAGTTATTTAATCCAAACATTTCATTTCACAGATGAGAAAAATGAGGTACAAGTACTTAGGTGAATCCTCGGACAGGTAATAAGCAACCGAGACAGGATTTGAACCTTAACTTTCCTGTGTCTTTTGACCTCACTTATTGAAGGAATGTCAACATTGGACCTTACATTTGATGATAACGATCATATCACTTAGAGCCTCGCCAGCTGCAACTGGGCCAACTCACCAGGGTGAGCGGGAAAGGATGTACAGGTGCAGAATGCGGGCATTTACTTCAGTGCCAGCTTAGGCTTCCATGCCAATAAAGGGACCTCATATGCTCCAGTCCCAACTGTACTGAGCATTAATGGTGGCCATCATGGGCCCTCATTCAGCAGAAGCCCCTTCTCCTGTGATCAGGAGATGTTTCCTCAGCCGACCCTAAAGCTCACAACAGACATGAGCTGCTGATGACACTGAGGTCCACACCATATTGTTGCTGAATAAACATCGATTAAGCACTAACTAGTGGGTAGGTAGGTTGTGAAGTGGATAGAGCATCTTCCTGAGTCCAAATCTGGCCTCAGACCCTGATTAGCTGTGTGATCCTGGGCAAGACACTTAATTCTATTTGCCTTAGTTTCTTCATCTGTAAAAATGAGCTGGAGAAGGAAATGGCAAATCATTCCAGTATCTTTGCCAAGAAAACCCCACATGGGGTCATGAAGGGTTAGACATAATTGAAAAAAGACTAAACTGACCTGAAGCACTGTGTGCTAGGCACTGTACTCAGGCTGGAGAGATGGACAGAATATAACAAGGCGTGCTGGAGAATACTAGACCAAGAAATATCTGTTATTGTCATGTTTACAAAAAGCTTTCTACCAATGTAGGATCTGCCTTTGCTACCTTGGGCAAATCCCTTGGCTTCCCTGGGACTCAGTTTCCCCAGCTGTAAAATGAGAGGGTTAGGTTTGGTGGCCTCTGAGTTCCCTTCCAGCTCCCAGGACCCTTAAACAAATTTCCTTTGATCCTCACTACAACCCGGGAAGATGGATTCTGGAGGTAGAGCAGAAAGAGGATTGGCTCGGGACCTGGGTTCAGATCCCACTTCTGACACTTCCTGCCTGTGCGTGATGTCTCTGAGCTAGCTGAGTGCCAGTTTTCTCCTTTGTAAAAGGAAGGAGTTGGACCAGATATGCCCAGCTCCAAGAGCTCAATATTCTTATCTTATAGGTGAGATTTTATAGAGGTTCAGGGACTCGTCTGTGGTGTCCTCCCCAGAATCCAAAGTCAGATCTCTCCTACCAACAGATGCAGAGCTTTTCCCACCACAAAACACTGACTCGCCCCCCCCAACACATGGGGCAGTGCAGACTCTTTAAGTGACTTAGGGGGATGACAGGGATTTGAAAGGGCTCTATTGTAAGTATGGGAAGATGCTGGCATGGTGAGTAGAGCTCTGGGCCTCCAGGTCAGGTCAGGAAGGCCTGAGTTTAAATCTGATTTCAGATACTTCCTAGTTGTATGACTGGGCAAGTCACTTAATCTCTGTCTGCCTCAGTTTCCTCAACTGTAAAATGACAATAATAACAGTACCTACATCCTAGGGTTGTTGTGAAAAACAAACGAGACAATATTTGCAAAGCATTTAGCCCAGTGCCTGGCACACAGTAGGCATTTAAAAAGTCCTCGTTTTCTTCCTTCATAGAGGAGATCCCAGAACATCACTCTCCTTACTAACTTTTCCCTCCACCGCTGGTATCCATAAGATCATGGACCTGGAGTTGGAAGGGGCCTTCGCGGGGTCACTGAGTCCAACCCCCTCATTTTACAAATAAGGATGTTGCATTTGAGAGATGTAAAATGATTCATCCAAGACCATGCAGGTAGTAAGTGGTCAAACCCTCTCATTTTACAGAGGCAGTGTGCAGTGCTAGACTCAATCAAGAAAACCTGGATTCAAAACCAACTGTAGGCATTTACTAGCTGTGTGGCCCTGGACAAGTCACTTCTGTGCCTCAGTTTCCCCATTTTAAAATCAGGGGGTGGCCTCTGAGGTCCCTCCCAGTTTTCTGTCTATGACCCTATGAAAAAAAGGCATTTACCCAAGGCACTTATATATTATGTAAGGTCACACACATAGCAAGAGGAAGGGCTGGGAGTTGAACGAGGGTCTTCAGATCCCAGAGCTCAGCCCCAAGTGTTGTCCCCAGGCTTTCATGCCATAGCTCTCCTCACTCCAGGAACACAAGGGAGCAGTACTGGTTAGAGGTAAGGCTGTCTCTGGGGTTGCCCAAGTCGTGACTGTCTTGCTCAGCTCTTTTTCTCTGCCTTCCCTCCTTACCAGTCAAGAGGTAGCGTACAGCAGGGAGACCTGGATGGGGCCAGGAGGCTGGGCCGCCTGGCAAGGCTGCTCAGCATCGTCTGCATTGTGCTGGGAATCCTCATCATCGTCATCTATGTGTCTGTCAACTTCACAGGTAAGCCTCCCAAAGGCTGGTGGAAGTCCTCCATCCAGCCTTGCAGACACCTTAGCTCCAGACCAACAGAGAGGAAAGAGGGAGGTGGTTCAGCTGACCCCCACATGCAGACCCCTGGCCCTCAGAAGACAATGGGCAAGTGAGGGTGGGGACCCTGGAGGAGCCACTCAGGAACTTCCTGCTTTCCTGGAATGGTGGCCCTATGCACAAGAAGCAGTAAGGTCTTCACCCACTTAACTAGCTGGCTGTGTGACCCTGGGCACATCACTGAACCTCTCTGTGGTTCAGATTCCTTACATGGGGATAAAATGGGGAGAATAATAACACATCACAGGCAGTGAGGATTAAACAAGATAACATATCAAAGTGCTTTATCAATGCAATAATGAAGCTAGTGATTGATTGTTATTATCCCTGGACTCGGTGGGCTGACTTTTTTTTTTCCTAAAAAAATCAGACCTGTGATTTCATTGGTAATGAAGAAACTTCCACAAATGCAATTGAATGCCTCTTCTGCAATTACTATCTTAGAAAGTTGCATGAGGTCCTGAGAGGTTTCGATGACTTGACCTGGGTCCCATAGTCAGTATTGATCAGAGGTGAGACTTGAATCCAGTTCAATCCATCAATAAACATTTATTTAGTACCTGCTATGTGCCAGGCACTATGCTAAGAGCTGAGGATATAAAAGGAAGCAAGACAGTTTCCTTCCCTCAGGTAGCTTACAATCTATAACATGCAAACATATATGTATGTGTGTGTGTGTGTGTATATATGTGTATATATATATATATAGAGAGAGAGAGAGAGAGAATATATATCTATATCTATAAAAATAACCTCAAGCTATATGTAGGATAAATAGGAGATAATTAACAGAGGGAAGGCACTAAAATTAAGAGGGTGGGGAGCAGCTAGGTGGCGCAGTGGATACAGCACCAGCCCTGGAGTCAGGAGGAGCTGAGTTCAAATCTGACTTCAGACCAAACACTTGATACTTACTAGCTGTGTGACCCTGGGCAAGTCACTTAACCCCAACTGCCAAAAAAAGAAAAAGAAGTTGGGGAAGGCTTCTTGTAGAAGGTGGAATTTTAGTTGGGACTGAAGCCAGCTGTCCACCTCCTCTCCAGTGACTCCACTCTCCATCCTTACAACTTTCTAAACCAAAATATCCCTCCCTTGCCTCCACTTTCCCACATGTGTGGTCTCTTAATTAGGATGTAAGCTTCTTCCACAAAGGTAGGGAGTAGCTTCACTTTTGCATTTGCATCCTTAGGGCTTAGGACTGTGCTTGACACCCAGCAGGAGTTTAATAAATGCTTTTTCATCCATCCATCCATCCATCCATCCATTTATTCATTCATTCATACATACATACATACATACATACATACATACATACACCATGCCAACTTCCAAGGGATCTTTTTCAAACACAGAATTTCATGCACTGAGAAGCTCTGCCGTGCCATGTGACCTGGTCTCGGTCACTTCTCTTAGATTTTCAGTTGCCTTATTTGTAAACTGGAGGGGGTTGGAGTGGATGGCTTGAGAGGACCCTTCGACTCCAGGATTCTGGGATTCTATGACTTCTATATTTTCTTCCAGCTCCAAATCCTATTGTCCTAAAATATTTCACTTTTTTTGTTTCCTTCTCTGTGACATCCCTCAGTTTCCTTATTTGTGAAATGGGGATAATGCCTACCTTACATGGTTGTCATGAGGATCAAAAAGCAGTTTGAGGACCGGAAAGCCCACTGTATCATATGCAGAACAGAAGTGATGGAAAGAGGACTGGCTTTGGAGTCAGGAACACCTGGGTTCAAATTCTACCCTCTGACACTTACCAGCTATATAGCAAATCAGTTAACTTTTTCTGAGCCTCAGTTTCTTCATCTATAAAATGGGATTGATAATACGTCCCTTCCTCACAGGGTTGTTGTGAGGACCAAATGAGAAAGCTGTATGCCACCCCCTTTGCACATCTTAACGGGATGTGAAAATGTCCATTGTTACAATAGCCATGGGGCATGTGCAGGAAGCATAAAGGGGCCTCAAATGGAGAGGGGCTGGCAGCGCTTACGAATTCAGGCAGTTGGAACAGTTGCTGTTGAGTAGCTCATTTCCTTCCTGCGGTGCTGGGAGGCACCGACATCAATCTCTTCCTGACTGGGGAATGGAAGCCCAGAGACTCCAGGGCTCCAAGGGCAGAGCCAAAGGCCCAGCTGGCCTCCTGATGGCTCTAATGTACTCCTTCTCTCCATCCCTACCTCCCTTTTCTTCCCTACATAAATAGCCACTCTCTTGGCCACTGCCCCTTAAGATGGTGGGGAGAGTAATTATTAATATCCCCATTTCATGGATGAGACGACTGAGGCTCAGAGGAATTGCCCTGAGCCACACTCTTTCCATTAGACCGGGTGTTGCACTGAGCTGACTGACCTCATCTCTGCCAGGGACCCCAACTCTGTCATTCTTCTTTACTGCCTAGATGGTGGCCATCCTTTCTAAGTCAACAGGATGATGATGACTGCCACCAGGTCTGCAATGGGGCCCCTAGAGAAGCAGCTTAATTGGGATGCAGTGGAAAACACTGGATTGGTAGACAGAGGACTTGGGTTCAAATCCCAGCTCTGTTATTTACTAGCTTTGTGACTTTGAGCGATTCACTTTCATTCAGTTATTAAGGCATTGTGTTGGTTACTGGGGGAAAAAACAAAACAAAACAAAACAGAACTCTTGTCCTCCAGGAGTTTACATTCTACTTGGGGATGCCACATGTACTCAGAGAAGAAAATATGAAATGTATACAAAGTCATTGAGAGAGGGAGCGAGTGAGAATAACTGAGGAGAAAAATTCTGCAAGAAGTGAAAACAGTGCTTTGAAGGAAGCCAAACAGTATGGTCTAGTGGATAGAGAGCTGGCTGGGTTCTGAAGGCCAGAAGACCCAGGTTCAAATCCCACCACTGACACATTGGATGTCTGATGCTGGGCAGGTCACTGGACCTCAGTACTCTGCACAGCTTTCTAAGACAATAACTTAGAAAGAAGGTTGCTATACTGTGCTGGTAAAGGGAGTTCCCTCCCCCAGGAGTTCCCTGCACTAATGAAATCCCAAGTACATTTCCTATCACTAGGGATCCTACAAGGTCGAGGTGAGGAGGAAGACTTTCCAGATATGAGAGACTGCTTTTGCAAAGGTGTGGAGGTGGGAGGTTGTGTTATGTACATGGGACAGTTAGGAAGCTAGCTTGCCTGGAAAGGAGAGTGTGTAGACAGGGCGTGATATGAAATGAGGCCAGAAAGGCCTTTAGAGAGGGCTTTATATACCTGGCTGAGGATTCTGTATTTTATTCTAGAAGTAAATAGGACCACTGAAGATTTTTGAGGGAGGGTGGGGAAAGACAAGTGACTGTTTTAGGAATATCACTTAGGCAGCCCTAATGGAGGATGGCTTGAAGAAGCCAACTTATCTACCCTCTCTGGGCCTCTGTAAAATGAGGGTCGAGGTGATCTCCGATGTCTCTTCCGGTTTTAGATCCTATAATACTACGGGCCCAAGCATCCGAATGGAAAACAAGGTTCTGGATTCCTTTACCAGCACAACACCTCCCCTTGAAGCCTGCCTACTTCATGGGTTTGTTACTGTCATGAAATCTTAAATAAACAAACTGGAAGCAGAAATGAGATGCTCGCCTCCCTCAGGACATAAATCTCTCTCTGGTAGTAAGCGGGGCGAGTAGGGAGACACATTCATTACCCCGGTCACTCAGGGACCAGTTAAAGTTTGCTGTTCTCAAAAGAGAACCAAACACACGTGGCTGAAGGTCTTATCTTACCACCCACCGAAGGCATCGTTATCAAGATCTTAGCTCGATTTCTGATCTGGCTTGATAAACCTCCGAACGGTTCTGTGTAGCAGGCAGTGAAAATACTATTCTTGTTTTGCAGATAAAGAAAATTAGGATTGGTAAAGTTCACGGGGCTCAAGACTCAGAGTCCCCTAAGATACTTTAGTCTAACTCTCTCGTTTTTTGTTTTTAAACAGCTATTGGTTAAACTCATCTACTTTAACGCTTTTGATATTTGGTATTTCCATCCCTCCAGCAAGTCATTATCTATAACAAATACTTTAAAAGAGGTTGGGAAAAGCAGCTTAGAAAAACCAATCAACACAGAAACTGAGGGTGACAGTCTATGCATTATGCCTCATCCCTGTCTCTTACCTCTCCAAATGAGGGAGGGAGGTGCATTTTTCCAGCTCTTCTTCAGGGCCAACCTTGGTCATTATACTTATGTTACATTCCATTTCTTTTCTTTTCTCCAAACCTCTTGTTTTACAGAGGAGGCCCAGAAAGTCACACAGCCAGGGACTCCTCTCCCTTGCTTTTGATGGCCTCAGCTAACAAACACGACTCAACAAAAACAACTCAAAAGATCTGAGTTCTTAAAGTGGGAGGGGAACTTAAGAGACATCTGGTCTAACATTCTCATTTTCTGGGTGTGAAACTGAGGTCCAGAGAAGATAACTTGACCCCCTTTCTTGACTTCAGTTCCTCATTGCTTCTCTTTTTCTCTTACAGTCTGGAAGGATTAGCCCGAGAATTTCTGGAAAGAGGCAGGTACTGTGTAGGTGCCACCTTGTCTGGACTCCCCAGTGAACTGAGTGCCCCTGCACCATCCATCTTGGGGAGGGCATGCAGTTACTCCCCAAGTCCTCGCGTGGTGATGCTACACCCCAAAAACTTCTCACTCAATCACAGACTGATGAAAGGGCTTGGATTTCAAGGAGAAACAACAACAATAATTTGCAATGGCGATTTCAGCCTGGACCCACCGGAAAGGACAGAAGGAGACAAAAAAGTGGGGGGGAGGAAATTTATTCTCAAAACTGAAAAAAAAAAGTGAGATATCTCATGGAAATTTCTGGACTTTTTTTTTTTGCTCAAATCATTGGGTTTTTGTTTGTTTGCCTTTTAATCAGCCAATAATGTAACTCAACCTATAAGCTGAAACTGCCAGACAGAGAAGAAATATGCTTTCAAAGTCAGGAAGGTCAGAGAAAAGAAGGCTTGGTGAAGTAACATGAGGCTTTTCTGGATGTGGACATGGACCTGAATTTGGACATGAGAAGAAGAGGAGACAGGGAGAAGGACTTTGTTTTTTGTATTTTTGATGAAAAAAAAAAAGACCATTTGCATGCATTATTCCACCACCTCCCCACCCCCACCCTCCATTGCCTATTCATTCCTCTGAACTCAGCACCACAGAGCTCAGTGACAGCTGGCAAGGATGGGGCTGACACAGGCAGAGCAGATTGCCAGGGCAGCCAGAAAATCCTTTGCAGCCAATTTGGGCAGTGGGGGAAACTTTTATATGAGACTAATGCCAATTTCTCCATCCCCCAAAGCCAAGGGTGCTGTGTGAAGGATCTAAAATTGGGGGAACAAAGTAGCCTTGAAATTCGCTTCCAGGTGCCATTTGGTTTGGAAAACATTCCATTTTAAATGGTCTTGAAGCCAATTTAACCTTGAGAAGGGAGGCTGTGATCAGTGACCCAAAGAATCTGTGAGGGCCTCATCCACCCATCCCAGTACCTCCCCATTCCCCCTATATTTCCCAGACAAGCACCACCTGGTTCCTGGTGGCCCAGGAAACTATCTCCTCCGCATCTCCAAACGAAGGAAGAAAGGTAGAGAAATGAGGGATGACATATTTCTTTCGCGGTATGTTGCTGGATTTCCTTTGGGCTTCCCCTAATTTCTTCTCAGCACTGGGCATATGCTCATCAATCAATCAGCATTTATTAAACACCTTCTGTGTGCCAGGAACTATGCTAAGTGTTCGGAATACAAAGACCAAGAGGAAATATTTCCTACGCTTACATTCCATTGAAAAGAGATAACACATAGACATGAAAATAAATATCCAATCCAGGGACAGGGAAATGAACTAGGACTGTAATTTCATTTGATGTAGGAAGCTCCTGGTGAGGAATTCCACTACCAATGCAGGTTGACACTTAGAGCAAATGATTGTGGGAACAATTTGCTTTCTTCATTTTCATGGGTTACTCTTTCACATCAGCCCTTCCTCTCTGTTATCTTTTTGTCTGAGACTTGGCCAATCTCCCAGGCTCCTCTGGGGCAGCTATTTCTAATTAGTAAGAGAAAGAAAGTCCCTAGCACCTTGGAAAGAGTTGAGGGATCTCAATTGTGTGATCTCTGTATAAAACCAGGTATGGAGAGACTGGATCACCATTTTCAAGGGTTCTTAACAAAGGAAATGCTAATCAGTGAATTCTTCATGCCCAGGGAAGTCCCAGTAAGCAGGTATGGGCTTACACCAGCCCATAAACAAAAGACACGGTGTTTTCACAGAATGTGGAATGAGCTAGAGTGGACCATGACTGCTGGACCTCCAACACTGTTGATACCGTTATCAATGAGCATTTCCAGGAAAGGGAGATGTCAGTTAGCTATCCTCCCACCAAAATCAGTACATATGCCTCTCCCTTTCCATACCCTATTGACCATAAACTTCTAGGAGACCAAAAGTGAGCCATCAGGAGGATGGTCGGTCCTGGAATTCCCACTTCTAGGGCTATTTGCATTCTGTGAATGGAAGGATGGAAAGACTCTGTCCCCAGTGAAAGGAATCTCAGGCATGTAGAAGCAGGTGGGAGCCCAGGGGAAGGGGCCTGAAATCCTACTAGTAGGCTTACTCTGCCAAGATTTGAGACCCAGTCCCAAATGTGACTGGTGCTAACAAAGATGTTGAGTTTATGGGGTAAATGGAGTAGATCCAGCTTTGGGTAAGCCAGAGCCCTCTGTATACCTGTACACCTGGCCCTTGAGGCAGCTTTCTTCTAGTCTATGTAGACCTCCCTTGGGCATTAACCCAAAGCTGAGAATTGAAGGAGTTCTCTACTACAGAAGTGAGGGGGAGGGGGTGGCCCCAGAGCTGGGGAAAGGAGAGGAGAGGAGCAGACTGAGTTTGATAGGAAGCAAATAGCAGCTCGGATCTTGGAGGAAAAAGAGAGAGCTTCTTAGGAGGAGGCAGTGTGGGGCAATGGAAGGTCCATAGGATTTGGAGACAGATGCTTACCACCTGTGGGACCCTGGGCAAGTCCCTCCCCTCTCTGGGCCTAAGGAGATTGGACTAAATGACCTCTGAACCTAAGGTCCTATGACCAAATGGCCTCTCAAGTTCCTTCCAGCTTTAAATCCTAGGATTGTTTAGGATGAGCCCAACATCTTCAGGAGAAGAGCTCCCCAAAGACCGAATGGGGCTTTTTTGTTTAAAAAAAAAGTTTTTGAACAACAAGAAGCCAGTATCATATTTTATGAGCTAGAAGGGGCTTTAGGAGTCCTGTGGTCCAACCCCTGCCTTGGGCAGGATGGCAGCTAAGCCTTGTGGGGAGCATGACCAGGAGATGCAAGAAATGAATGTTTCTGTCTTTAAAGGGTTTTGGCATATTCAATTCACCTGGGAGAATATGGAAAGTAACTCCTACTATCTACACATGTACACACACACACACACACACACACACACATGCATCCAGCACAGCCAATGATTCAAGCACAAGAGTAGTCCAGCTTCTGATGGGAAGCAATAGAAAGTGAGACCCAAGGGCAGAGGGAAGCAGACACCCTGCGCTCTTGGATGGGGAGTCTAGTCCAAAGCCCTCATCGCTCAGATGAGGGTCACACAAGAGAGAAGGTCCTCAGATCCTCTGGCTTCAGAGCCAGGACTTTTTCCTTGGTATTAGGACACAATGACCAGATGACCTCCAGGCAGGAAGGGCTTCTTTCTCCCAGGCCCCAGATTGGAGGTAGGTTATGACTCTCCTGGCAAGAGTCTATCTGGGGAAACCACTTCTGATGGAGCCAAAGCTGCCCCAAGCTCTCTGGTGAGGGCCTCTGGGTAGATAAATGGGCCCCTTCAGAGAATTGCTCTAGGGGCTGCAGTGGGCATCACTGGGGCCTAGGAGCTTGGTGGACACACAAGTCTCCTTCATTCAGAATCAGCATTGATCATATCGGCAAACCAGTTGCTTGACCGCAGTGCCCAGGGTGAAGCCCTGTGATTTCTCCATGGAGTGGGGTGTGGGGGTGGGAGAGCACTGAGCTCTTCTGCTCAGCCTCTTCTCCCACCAATCCATACACACAGGGCAGTTGGCACATCACGCTCAGAGGCTCCTTCTCTGATGAAGGGCTGTCCTTGCCAATTGGCCCAAGCTGCATGAACAGCTCAGGGCCATCAGCTTCCGGCTTCCGGCCAGTCCCTTCCCACTCCCCACCTCCGATCTTTTCCAGTGGGATGAAACAATGGAGAATGTGTGCTGTCTTTTTGGTTTTGTCGCTTGGCATGGAAAAAATAAAATTAAACATGCATGGTCATCTCTGAGTCTGTCTGGTCTGTGCAGGGAAACACCAGATAAAAGAAGCAGTCCCCTCCGAAGAAGGCAGTGAGGCATCCCTTTGATGTACCATCAGGAGCAGATTGCAGGCTAGGGGAAATAGGGAGAGAGGCTCTCTTGGCAAAAGATGTGGGTTCAGATCCTGCCTCTGATACATTACCAGTGCAAACCTGGGCAAATCCCTGTACCGCTCTGTGCCTCAGTTTCCTCACCTGTCAAAAGAGGGAGTTGGGCTAGATGACCTTTAAGATCTCTTCTAGCTTCAGATCTATGATCCTTTGATCATTCCTAGCTGTGAGACCTTGGGTAAGTCCCTGAACCCCTCTGGGCCTCAGTTTCCTCATCTATAAAATGAGGAGGTTGGACAACTCCGGTAACAGGAACAACTTAAAATCTTTGATCAACATAATAACCAGCTGTGATTCCAGAGGGCCTGTGATAAAGCATGGTCCCCACCTCCCCGACTCAAGATGCACAATGAGACGGGCACTGTTGGGCAGGCCAGTGTGGGAATTTGTTTTTCCTTGACAATGTATATCTATTACAAGGGTCTCGTTTTTCTATCTTTTTTACAGTGGTGGAGGAGAGATGAGAAGGAGAGAAAAGAAATGTTTGTAAACATTTCCTTTTAAAGGAATGATTTCCTTTTAAATTTAAGTGAAGGGGTCAGACTAGATAGCCTCTATGATTCTTTCTAGCCCTACAGCTATAATCTTCAATCATTTAACTTCTCTGGTCCTTAGTTTTCTCATCTCTAAAATGGGGATAATGATACTTCTCTGCCTTGTGGGCTTGCTGTAAGGCAAGTTCTAGATAAATACCAGCTGTGGTGTATTTGATAAGAAAAGTCACAGAACTTTCATTTGCCAGGCCTTGGCCTTGGTGGAGGGAGTTCTATACACCAGTAAAATAAAAACAGCAGAGGAGAGAGAGAGAGAGAGAGAAAGAGAGAGAGAGAGAGAGAGAGAGAGAGAGAGAGAGAGAGAGAGAGAGAGAGAGAGAGAGGCAGCTTTGGAATCAGAAAGATCTCCCTCTGACCCATCCTGCCTGTGTGTGACCCTGGGTAAGTGATTTAACCTTTCAGTGCCCCAGGCAGCTCTCTAAGACTATAAATGGCAGAGCGAGTGTTAATCTGCCATGGTAGAGGGAGTTTCCATACTGGGAGGTTTCTATACTGATGAAATGACCGGCTTGGACCACTCCCACCCACAGAACCCTGAAAACAAGCAACTTCATCTCCAGTTCCCCAAATGGAGAGGTTTTGCAGCTTTCAGAGCAAATCAGAAGGGCTGTTTAAGCCTCCTCTCCCTGGTGAATGTCTCCTAAATCTTTGTGGATGTGGGACATTTTAGCGCATCAGGGTCTGGACATGCACCTTGGGACTTTGAACAAGGAGGAGTCCCAAGACCTCAGAAGCCAGATGCTGGGAAGGGGGTGGAGAGGGAGGAAGGGGCAGAAATCAGCATCTGTGGAGGCAGGTGAGAACCTGGGATGAGCTGCTTCCACCTTAAAGGGTCTGAGGACCTGCCATCCCTTCTCAGCTTCCTCGAGAACACCTCCCCCCTGCTCCCCGCCACCCCAACAACAACATAATTAATACAGCAAAGGAAAGCCAGAGCTGTTCAACGAGGTGTGCGAGGAACCACAGAGCTGATATACGTTCAGTGCTCTGCAAGTCTTAAAATGCTCCATAAATGCTAGCAATTATTATAATTATGACTGCATCTAATTTCAACCTCGTGGGGAATCCCTCAAAGGCATCACGTGGCACCGCCGGCATTT